GACTTCTCAATCAGCAAAGAATAGGTTTGTTGAGAAGTGTTTCCAAGCAAGAAATGTTCCTATGGTTTAAAAAAAAACCTAAATAGTATGATATAGATGTTTTAATAGCAAAATTTGTGTGGCGAGAACTGGCCCTCAAATGTTTGCATCGACACGGTGGTGACAAAAGAGCAAGGAAAGTTGATACTGGCGTGCTAGTGGCCAAAAAGCGACTCGGCCCGACAGTATCCCTTGGACGAGAACTGGTCCCCAAGCGTTGAGTACATAATGTTAGTGGAAGATGTAATGAAATAGAGTTGGCTTGCATTTCAAAGTGTTTTTCAGGCAAGAAGTAGCCCTTATTTTCAAACATTGGAAGAAAATGAGAAATAGGCAAGAATTTGTAACACTACGATAGGTGGCATGTTTCTAAGCTAACTTTCGAGCTTAGTTCGTAGTTCTCTTTGCTTCTTCACCCATTTATAAAACTGCAAACCTTTTGAATTACAGAATGGCACAAAATATCCACATACAAAAATTCCGCACATTCCAGCGCAAATGGTCCTGAAATGGTTCAGAATCTTAAAATCGAAAAAAATACTCCAATATTAAGCTTTGGTCATGACTGCGTAATTCTTATATATGATAAACGCGGTTTAAATAATTTGTGTATTTTCTTTAATCTTTGTTTAAAAGTACTCTTTTGCTCGGCGGTTTTTGAGAAAAACTGGCGCGAAAGAACTTATCATGAGGAACCCAAACATAAAATTCATTTGAATATAAATTTGATCCTTTGCAATTTTAAATAACCTTAAACAAACTTAGATTGTTTAAAGTGTTAACAACGGCTTTCAATATTATGAAAAGCCGCAATATTGTCGCGTAAAGATTTCGCTATTACAGGACGTCTCGTACAGCCCCTACTCCCAAACCCTGACCTGACCTTGACATTTTTTACACTCGAAACATAATTGAACCAGCAATTAGAAGATTTCTTCAAAACAACTTACAAAATCAATAGCATGATCGTTGGAGTAAGAACATCATAAGGGATTTGAAGAAAACGGGCGACTGAAGCTATGGTGACCGAAGATGTACAGATGAGCAATAGAATTGACTGAAGAAATAAGCTTTACAGCATGAAAAGAACAAATCAATATTTTTGTACATGGCGTAAGATAATAAACAAACAAGGAACAACAGTTGTATTATATTATTATTTTATCATGCCTTCAAGAGCAGTGTCCAAGATTCCGAGTTCACCACTTTTCGGTACATTT